TCGTTATTGAGGCAGTTAAAGCCGGAGGAAAGACAGTATTGAAAGAATTGACACAATTATATAACTTATGCCTTTCAAAAGAGGTTACACCATCTCAGTTGAATAAAGCTCAATGTGTCTGAAAAGAAAAGTATTTAATCAGTGTATTTTGCCAGTGATGACCTACGGCGCAGAAACCAATACTCACAAGAATACCAGTGAGTAAACTACAAGTTGCGGGAAGGGCAATGGAGACAATAATGTTAGTGATTTATCTACGTGATAGAATACCCAATGCTACTATACCCAAAAGATCAGGAGTAGCAGACGTTATTGAAAGGATAACAACACTAAAGTGGAACTAGGCAGGTCATGTAGCAAGATCAGTTAATGACCGGTGGACAAAAAGAATTTTGGAATGGAGACCCCGAATACAAGTTAACACAAAAAGAGGTCAACCCCCAACGAGATGGATAGATGACATAAAAAGAGTGACTTTTAATTGGACAGAAGATAAAATGAGCCTTGCTATAGACACAGTAAAAAATGAAGGCATGCCAAAAAAATGTGCAGCCAAAAAATTTTGTGTACCTAGAACAACCTTAAAGCGTAGACTTGAAAAAAAATTTCCTAAATGAAAAATGGGTCCTAAAACTATTGTTTCAGAAGGTGACGAGAAATTATTAGCGAATAGAGAAATTATTATCTATGGACAGTAAGCTTAATGCAACAAATTTACTCTTCACGGTTCATAAAATTATGAAGAAACGAGGAGGTTGACTGTTCTTAAAGATGTGATGCCCGGAAAAACTTGGTTCGCTGCTTTTCTTAGAGGACATCCTGGGATAAAAAACCAAGAGCAGAGTCTATTACAAAATCAAGAGCTGCAATCTCTAAAGCTGATATAGAAAAATGGTTTAATGAAATTGAAAACTATTTAAAAAAAGAAGGTGTCCGTGACGTACTAAAATACCCAAATATAATATACAATGCAGACGAAACCGGGTTTAGCGTTGATCCTAAATCTGGTAATGTCACTGGGCCGGCGAAATTGGAAGAAGACTTTTAAGGGAGAAAAACTAATACAGAAAAAGAGCAAATCACTATTATGGCCTGTTTTTCAGCCGAAGGTGTCACAGTTCCACTAATGGTCATATATCCGTACAAAAAAATACCGAAAAGCAGGCAGAGCAAAAAACATTTTTTTGGAAAAACAATTTTTTTAGTTATTTACTTGGATGTATATGACAATATATACCTTTCTTAGTATCCTAGCATATAAGTCAAATACTTCATTATAACGAATAAAATTATTCAAAATTTTCTTTAGAGTGTCCATTACTAATGCACTTCCTCTATATTAAGATTTGTCAAATCAATAGGTGAATTAATAATGAAGATCCATAAAGATGGAATAACATTTCAAATTGGATGCTTCAATAAGTTATCAATTATTCCTTCATTCTTCACTATCGATCAGGAGAGAGAAATAAAATTTAACAAAACACTAACATTTAGCAAAAACGTAATTGGAAAATATTAATCATTGTAATTAATAATATTCAAATATAATGAAGATCACAGATCTTTTGATGCAAGTTTTTAACAAAATTACACATTTTTATATTTTAATATGATTTGTAACTCTTCAAATAAAATTATTTGATTAAAAATAATACACGTCAGTTTCTGTGAAATTTATAAAAACACCTGCCCAGTTTGAGTATATAATATTTTGCGAATATATATTGAGACACACAGTTCGTAGTAAAACTTACTCTGTACCACTTCTGGTATACACAGGGGAAAATGTTAACGCTATTTCAAATTTCATACTCCACCATATTAAACTAATTCAAGTATTATACTTTCTAATGACGAACTTTGATTTTTGTTTTTCTTTATACTTTTAATAAGTAGGCCTCCAACAAATGCATTTAAATAAATATCACTATCTTTGGTAATTTCAACTTAAAGCTATTCTACATAAGGTCATGTGGGAAATACGTCTTTCACTGAGCTATGTCAGATCTTTGTCAGAAGAATACATTTTAATACCTATCATTAAAAAAAAACGGGATTAGGATCGACTGGCACAGTTAGCAGCATATCATCTTCATTTTCCAAAAATATCAGGTTCAATTTACTAAAATATTATAAAACGGAATACTTTTCTCTTTTACAAATCTCTACAAATGATTGAAATCGATATTTAATTTTCCTGATAGGTTGTCAACAAATAACACATATTAAAAGTGTGGTATTAAAAAAGAGTTTATTAAAGTATATTGTACTTAATTAATATTTAATAACTCTGATTTGATATCACGGTTTAATATAAAAGTTTACTCATTCTATAAAGAAAACATTGAAATTCAAAACTGGCAATTAAACACACTAATTCATCTCGAACCATAGAAGGTTTTTAATCTGCCTGATTCAACATTCAATAATCGACGAAATTAAGCAGTTGACAGTCTTTAGCAGCATTAGCCGGTATTTTTAGTGAAAACAAATAAATAACTTTGATGATAGCACTATATAATTTGTGTTTTTAGCGAATAGACACGAATATGCAACGGCAGTTCTATAATTGGGTCATCGCTGCAATGAAATCCCAAAATAGTTTTTCAAATACATGTAAATGTAAAGGTCAGATATATTTTCAGTAACTCAACAATATTACTATATCCTATCCAATCATGATCTTGGATATATTTAACACATTGACCACACACACAAAAAATAGCTTGTTCAAAAAATTACGTCATCGGTATTTTTCTTAAATGATAATATATGGCATGTGATACACTATTTGAAAGCTTAGTTTTTGTCTTAATCAGTACGATGCTAGAAACAAAAGTGTTAATATTTCACTAGAGTCAATCTAAGATTTTAAAACAGCGATATAATTGCATAAGAATCTAGGAATATACTAGCTTTCACACTTCAACACAAGAACTTTCAAATTATGCTTTAAGAAAAATGTCGATGACGTCATATTTTGACAGATATCTTAGTCAGAATGTACGGAAATGAACGAAAAAATATATTTGTTTTTATATATTGTTGTTGTTTGTATATTTTTTACAATATCGGCATTGAATATTGAATGGTCTTTATTTTAAAACTTGGAAATATATTTATAATATAATATATACTCAAATAGTGTATAATATGTCATATAATGTCATTTACGAAAAATGTAATGACATCATATTTTTGACAGATGTCAGTGATGTCATAATGTGGGAAGTTGGTACAATAATTTGAGCGTTTCCATAAAACCTAAATATCAGCAAATTTTTAGGGGCACATCAAACCTTGTTCCTACACAGTCGCCAGTAATGGCGAAACGAATTATACAAAAATCTAGAAACAAACTGGGTGATAAAAGTTTTTTGTTCAGAAAATAGGTGGGGCTAATAGCTTTAGACACAAACTGTCATTGATGTTGTTTACAGTTAAAAAAACGAAGTATTAGATTGCATAGAAGATATTAATATTGAAATAGATAACAGCTCTGTAAAGCAGGCAATAGGGTTGAAGAATTACTTACAAAATAAAAAATTTAGTACTAGTTAAATTTTTTTCATGTAGTAATACCTCATTGTAATTTAAATAAAAGAGTAAAACTATAGAATTTTTAATTATCAAGAAGATTCGATTAACCGCACGATGTGATACATATGCACATAACTTCCAGTTTAGATTACATATTTGTAATTCGAACAAAGTAAATATAAGATTATCTGCAATTAAGTAATAATAAGGATTTTAAAAACAAAGTTTTGATATTGAAATATTTAATTATGGTAATATACAACCAATAAGACTTAAAGCTTTTTTTTGTTCTAAAATATTCCTCTCAATTTGTTGAGCCATGAACTGCCGCTGGATATTACTACACGTGTAAGATTTCTCAACCATACATAAATATGCCAAAAACATACTCTTACAAATAATGCGTTTAGTTTTTTGAACGAGTAAACTCCTAGTCATACGGTGTAAGCGGAGTCAAAACTTCCAACCAAAAAGTTTTTCGAAATACATAGAAGCCTCATTGTCCCTTAAATTTAAATGAAAAAATACACTACATATAATTACATTTTCGTATTCCTATCCTACTTATTTACAAAATACTGTCAGTGGGGCTTTTGTGTCTCATCATTTTATTCGAATTTACCAAAACAGAGTGACATCAGTCTATAATATATATATATATATATATATATATATATATATATATATATATATATACATAAAGTATATATAGATAAAATTCGCTATAATCTCAAGTCTGATATACTTCTGTCTTTTATTGTCACATTTGAATGTTTTACATGGGTTGACGTTTATAACTCCGCATTATAAATTATTTGTATGGGAAGGTTAACCATTTTTAACTAACTAAACTAAAAAATGATTAAAACTATTAAAAAAGTTAATGATCAAGTTAAAAAGTAAAAATATTACATAAGAAAAACAAGTAAGGACTTAACTTAATCATTGATTTTATTTTAAACCAGATTTTACTTTTTTATATACTTTTTTAAGGATGGCGTACAACAGTGAAGGCTATTGGAAAAAGGCCGTCAAAATTCCAACGTTTTTATCCCATATTTTAAATAAATGCCCTTTTATAATTAAATTGTACGTCAATCGAACAAAAATATAAATATACAAAGTCGATGGTAATTCGAACGAGTCTAAAACTACTGACACCCTTTTTTCTATGAAACATCCTTTAAATTTTTTTATTTTTAACAGTTCCTTAATAAGCTGATGTCAACTAACTATAATATTTATGTTCTCTACGAATAATACAGGGTGAAGTTGTGAAACAATCAAAGAATAATATTAAACTTTATGATAATTGTTTTAATTGGCACAACAGAATCCCAATCAAATAAAACAATAATTTAATGTATGACAAATATTTTATGTTAAAACTTTCTAATAATTATTAATGTCTAAACAAATAAGTTTTTCCAAAAAATATACGAACGAATAATAAAAATCTAAACACGATTTGTAAGTCTAAATTTAAGAGGTTTTGTTGGAGCTGCCATCAAGACGCTTGAGCTCTTGATGTCGCCGTAGTTATACTCAATTCTAAACATCTGGCAAACCTTTAACATCAAAGAAGCAACCCAATTCTCAGCCATTTCTTTGGCTAAACAATTTCTGGGTCCGTATCCAAACGACATCGAAGTAAAAGTTTGATATTCGTTGCCGAATCCACCTTTTTCATCCTCATACCATCTTTCCGATTTAAATTTGGCAGCATCTTCGAAATATTCTTCACCCATATTGTTCATGTGAGTGCCTTTTGGAATGCGGTAGTGGTGACAAACGACATCGTTGCTGAGGACGCGGCTAATAATTGGAATTGGTGGTTCTAAACGTAGGGTTTCTTTAAGGCAGGCTTGCAGGTATTTCAATTTGTTCAGTTTTTCAACGGTTATCGGACCTGAATGGCTCTTTATTTCTTGGTAGAGTTTAATCTGACACCAAGGATTTCTAACAAGATGATAAAAGAAGAAAGCCACAGAATGAACAGTCGCATTCGCTCCAATAAGGAACATGGATAGTTGTACAGTCATGACGTCCTCAACAATTATATTTTCCTTTAATAAAAGATGTTCAATAAAGCTTGGTTTTTCCAAGCCTTGATTTTTTGCTTTCTTTTCCTTTAAACTATCTTTAGCTGCTTCAATATAGACATACCATACTGAATCAAAAATCCTAATTTTCTATTTAGAGCCACTGAACAAAGACATTCTAAGGTCCATTTAAAATTTCAGTTTGAGAATTTGCGGACATTTCTTCTTGTATATTTTTAATGGAGATTATTCTTTGTACAAAATCAGAATTAGTTTTATCAATGCTAGCTTGTTGTTCACTAACAATCGACTGTAACGGAGCTTCTACAGATTTTCTTAGTTTCTCCCATTCCGGCCAGTGAGTTAAGAACGGTCCAGCTTGCTTATAATTTTTACATTGCAGGCGAGACTGCCCTACGGAATCTAAACATGACCTGATTGGATAGGGGCCTTCTGTCTGGAAAACTGCACTAGCGTGCTCTGGTCTACTTAGTAATACAAGGTCACTACCAAATGCGCCGTGCAATCTGACAACTGGTCCATATACGCCAAAAAATTTCTTAAAGAAAGGTGCGTTTCCACCCCTACTGAGTATTCCCCTGAAGAATTTCTTAGTACTCAACAAATACTGTACAACAGTTACTGTCAGTTCGGTTCCCATAATTGGAATAAAACTTCAAAATTTTGATATCAGCCTTAAGCTAACAGGGCCGTGAATTTTAACAAATGATATTTTATCGGTACTTACAGTTAACTTTTCAGGTTTCCTGGCACCGAGGGTTGCTAGCAAGATGATAAAAGAAGAAAGCCACAGAATGAATAGTCGCATTCGCTCCAATAAGGAACGTATCTAGTAGTACACTCATGACGTCCTCACCAATGATATGTTCCTTTAATAAAAGATATTTTGATAGAACGCTGTCAATCATGTCGCAATTTTTAACATGGCTTTTCCATGAAGGTGTCTCTACAAATTTCCAGAAGTGAAAACCATATTTTAATCTCTTAACAGCGGCGGTAGCCTCAAATAAACCATCCAAAAGCCTACCTGGATCAGAAGCAGGAGCCACACCATACGGAATCAAAAATCCTAATTTTCTATTTAAAGCCACTGAACAAAGACATTTTAAGGTACATTTATATATTTCAGTTTGAAAATTGAACGGGGGCCTTCAGTCTGGAAAACTGCACAAGCGTGGTCTTTTTTTTTTGTTTTTAAGACTCAGGAACTATCGCATTTAATAATTTTATCACAAGATTAACGAAAATTCTCATTGGTACTATCAGAAATATTCATCGTCCTCCATATTTGTATAAACTCCCGGCCATGTTAGCTTAAGGCTGATATCAAAATTTTGGAGTTTAATTCCAATTATGGGAACCGAACTGACAGTAACTGTTGTACAGTATTTGTTGAGTACTGGGAAATTCTTCAGTGGAATACTCAGTAGGGGTGGAAACGCACCTTTCTTTAAGACATTTTTTGACGTATATGGACCAGTTGTCAGATTGCACGGCGCATTTGGTAGTGACCTTGTATTACTAAGTAGACCAGAGCACGCTAGTGCAGTTTTCCAGACAGAAGGCCCCTATCCAATCAGATCATGTTTAGATTCCTTAGGGCAGTATCGCCTGCAATGTAAAAATTATAAGCAAACTGGACCGTTCTTAACTCACGGGCCGGAATGGGAGAAACTAAGAAAATCTGTAGAAGTGCCGTTACAGTCGATTGTTAGTGAACAATAAGCTAACATTGATAAAACTAATTCTGATTTTGTACAAAGAATAATCTCCATTAAAAATAAATAAGAAGAAATGTATGCAAATTTTCAAACTGAAATATATAAATGGACCTTAGAATGTCTTTGTTCAGTGGCTCTAAATAGAAAATTAGGATTTTTGATTCCGTATGGTGTGTCTATATTGAAGCAGCTAAAGATAGTTCAAAGAAAAAGAAAGCAAAAAATCAAGGTTTGGAAAAACCAAGCTTTATTGAACATCTTTTATTAAAGGAAAATATAATTGGTGAGGACGTCATGACTGTACAACTAGCCATGTTCCTTATTGGAGCGAATGCGACTGTTCATTCTGTGGCTTTCTTCTTTTATCATCTTGTTAGAAATCCTCGGTGTCAGATTAAACTCTACCAAGAAATAAAGAGCCATTCAGGACCGATAACCGTTGCAAAACTGAAGAAATTGAAATACCTGCAAGCCTGTCTTAAAGAAACCCTACGTTTAGAACCACCAATTCCAATTATTAGCCGCGTCCTCAGCAACGATGTCGTTTGTCACCACTACCGCATTCCAAAAGGCACTCACATGAACAATATGCGTGAAGAATATTTCGAAGATGCTGCCAAATTTAAACCGGAAAGATGGTTTGAGGATGAAAAAGGTGGATTCGGCAACGAATATCAAACGTTTACTTCGATGTCGTTTGGATACAGACCCAGAAATTGTTTAGCCAAAGAAATAGCTGAGAATTGAGTTGCTTCTTTGATGTTAAAAGGTTTGCCAGATGTTTAGAATTGAGTATAACTACGGCGACATCAAGAGCTCAAGCGTCTTGATGGCAGCTTCAACAAAACCTCTTCTTACAAATCGTGTTTAGATTTTTATTATTCGTTGGTATGTTTTTTTGGAAAAACTTATTTGTTTAGACATTAATAGAACAAGCGGACAAGAAATGTCAGCAAATTTTCAAACTGAAATATATAAATGGACCTTAGAATCTTTTTGTTTAGTGGCTCCAAATAGAAAATAAGGATTTTTGATTTTGTATGGTGCGGCTTCTGATTCAGGTAGGTTTTTGGATGGTCTCAAGCAACTTGATGGCAGCTCCAACAAAACCTCTTAAATTTAGACTTTTAAATCGTCTTTACATTTTTATTATTTGTTCGTATATTTTTTGGCAAAACTTATTTGTATTACAAGTAATTTTAAATTTTCACAATTACCTATAAATGTTTTAATATTAAAATAATAAAAATCACCCAAAGAACTTTCAAAAATATAAAATGATAGAGGGTATTTCACTGAAAGAAGTGTATCGATAGTAATAGTTTTATATGAATCAACCTGAATATTATTTCAGGGGTTAATTTTGAAAAATAAGTCAATCTTTTAACGTATTTGTACGTTCTCTAAACAGAAATATAAATATATAGGGTGATTCATGTACGACTATAAATGTTTAATTGTATTAGTTTAGTTATTTAAAAAGTGGGCGATATTTCCATTGAAAAGAATTAAAGTGGATTCTGTTTAGCAGGTGTCAGTGGATCCTTAATAGCGATATGTGGTTAGCATTGAGTTGTTGCTGCACCATTTGTGGGACATCCACTCACGTAACCATTGGCAGTAGTCATGATTCCTTCACTTTCCGAAATGCTTGGAAATTGATGATGTGTATTTATATCAAGTTCATCAGAATCATTCGAATTAGAAGGCAGATATCCTTTCAGTCGCTCAGCTACGTGTCTCAAGGGAGTTGACTGATCATCCTGACTAGGTGACGGAGTATGTCTGGATGCTCTGGCTTCAACTCCAGCGGGGCTATGGTAGAAAGACACCTCTGCAAATCCAGGAGCAGAGTCTTCTAATAAAAGCTGACAAAGTTTCAAGAAAGTAGGTCTTGAGGATGGTTTATGCTGCCAGCAATACCTCATTAGGGTATATAATTTGTCAGGACAATTCTCAGGTCTTTCCATTACGCCTCCATCGATGACGTAACGTAACACTTGATCATTGGCAAGACCTTGGTAGGGCTGTGATGCTAGTGTAGCCATTTCCCATAACACAACACCGTAACTCCAAACATCACTATAACTTGTGAATACACCATCCTTGAGACTTTCAGGTGCCATCCATCTAACTGGAAGCAGACCTTTGGTCCCTTTTCGATAGTAATCAGTCTCATATATATCTCTGGTCATTCCAAAATCTCCTATCTTTACGACCAAATCTTCAGAAACCATACAGTTTCTAGCTGCCAAGTCACGATGAACAAACTTTTTGGCTGAAAGATAAGCCATCCCATCAGAAATTTCTATAGCCATCTGTAAAATCTGCTTCAAAGATGGTGGGTGTTTTATTACAGATGGGTTGTAATTTTCCATGTCAGGTCTATGGGATCGAAGATAGGACTTTAGATCACCATTAGCCATTAATTCCATAATGACCAAAGTAGGTTGACCTTCAGATACCACCCCCAGTAACCTAACTACGTGAGTTGTATCAAAAGCTTTCATTACAGACGCCTCATTAAGAAATTCTAACCGTTCCCTGAAAAAAAAAGTAAGATTTTAATACAATCAATAAAAAAATGCTCGAATGTATATTAATCATAGTCAACATTTAACAGCCAAAAAGAGATCTTGTAAAGATCGAAAGATCCTATAATTTTGTTAAATTTTATTTAATTCAGAACGCAGTAATTTTTATGCGCTTCCTGTGTGACTGAATTGCGTTTCAAATAATGTGTACCGGGTGGTCCAATAAGCCGATCTCTCGGGTATATATCAGAAACTATTCATGTTATAACTTTAGGAGAAAAAATTCCTTAGTAAAAGAGGCCAAGAGAAATCGCTGGAAATAACTTTCAAGATTCTGGATTAACCGCTAGGGGGCGTAACCTGCGAAGAAAATTTTGAAAACCAATTTTTTGGGAAATATGTCCAATTATACCAAGTGTTAATTAAGTAAACTAGAAAGAGGCATAAATTCTGCATAAAGTTGTTCAAGTACTTTTTAAAAAATTTTTCAAATAAAGGGTGGGGGAGAGTGGGAAAGTATTTGTGGATAAATACCTATAACTTTGGTTTGGTATAACCGATTTTAATGAAATTAGTGTCATTAGAAAGAGTGTGGATGAATTAATTCACATCTAATATAAAATACTCGCATTTAGTTTTCGTAGTCGTAGGTAGAGGAGACTTTCAAATAAAAAAAATTAAAATTTGTTTTTCTTCAAAATTTTTAATGGAAACACCTATTTATTGTAAATTATAATGGAACTGGAATAAATTTGTAACAAAATGGAGCAAACCGCATGTTAATAGCTTTTGTTGAACTCGAGATATGAATAAAAATTCATAAACATAAGTAAGTATAGTATTGACACACCCTGTATTATAAATTACATTAAAAAATAAGTCAGTAGGTATTTTCAAATTTTTTATAGCAGAAGAATCTTAATGTTGATACCTATTTTGACCATTGTTATTTCATATGATTAAAAATTGTTTTTTCGAAACTAAGTAGGCTACGACAATGAATTTGACAGGTAGTTCATATTGTTTATTTATTGACAGCAGTCAAAATATTTTTAAGAAGTGTTATATGTATTATAATTTGAATTGAAAATTGCATTTTTTTCAATAGATATTAATATTGGTAATATTAGTAATTAATTATCAGTACTAATAATTCGTGATGAGTATATCAAATTGTATGATATGATTGGAGTTTATTTCGAATGTCACCAAAATGCCTCACGTATATATTTTGTAAGATATCGTGACAGGAGACATTATGGCAAAGAAGTATTTGAAAGAAAGGCAAAAAGATTAAGAGAAACCGGTAGTTTTTTCGTCCTTGTTTTAAACGACGTAGTAGAGTTATGACCGAAGATAATTCAATTTTTGTTCTTGCTTTAATTCAACAGAATCCACATATAAGTAGTCCGAAAGCTCTACTTCTTTGCCACAATATCTTCTGCCAGGATATCTTACAGAATATATACGTGAGGCAATAGCGCCATTTTGGTGATATTCGAAATAAACTCCAATCATAACATACAATTTGATATACTCATCACGAATTATTAGTACTGATAATTAATTACTAATATTACCAATATTAATATCTATTGAAAAAAATTCAATTTTCAATTCGAATTATAATACATATAACACAATATTTTGACTGCTGTCAATAAATAAACAATATGAACTCCCTGTCAAATTTATTGTCGTAGCCTACTTGGTTCCAAAAAAAGAATTTTTAATCATATGAAATAACAATGGTCAAAATAGGTATCAACATTAAGAGTTTTCTGCTATAAAAAATTTTGAAAGTACAATACCTACTGACTTATTTTTTAATTTATTTTATAATACAGGGTGTGTCAGTACTATACTCACTTATGTTTATGCGTTTTTATTCATATCTCGAGTTCGATAAAAGCTATTAACATGCGGTTTGCGCCATTTTGTTACGAATTTAACCCAGTTCCATTAAAATTTACAATAAATAGGTGTTTCCATTAAAAATTTTGAAGAAAAACAAATTTTAATTTTTTCTATTCGAAAGTACCCTCTACCTACGACAATTAAAACTAAATGCAATTATTTTATAGTAGATGTAAATTAATTCATCCATACTCTTTCTACTGACACTAATTTTGTTAAAATCGGTTGATCCAAACCAAAGTTATAGGTATTTATCCACAAATACTTTCCCACTCTCCCCCACCATTTATTTGAAAAAATAAAAAAAAAGTACTTGAACAATTTTGTGCAGAATTTATGCCTCTTTCTAGTTTACTTAATTAACACTTGGTATAATTGGACATATTTCCCAAAAAATTGGTTTTCAAAATTTTTCGCAGGTTACGCCCCTAGCGGTTAATCCAGAATCTTGAAAGTTATTTCCAGCGATTTCTCTTGGCCACTTTTACTAAGGAATTTTTTCTCCTAAAGTTATAACATGAATAGTTTCTGATATATACCCGAGAGATCGGCTTATTGGACCACCCGGTACATTAAAATTTGTTTTGATAAAGTCGATTCTTGAACGATGATGATGATTCTGGAACTTTTTTCTTCTAATCCTCGTTTTCTTCAGTTTTTTGGGTAGTAATAATGTCGTAAAAATCACCTTCGCATCTCTACCGACTCTGTGCAACGCTGCCCTCGTTCATTTTGTATACTTTCAAACACTGTCCATTGTTTGTTGTGTTACAACCTACAGGCAGTAGTTCAAAGTACTTAATATATACAGCGATTAAATACAAATTTTATTGTACACTTTACTGAAAACATTCTTACACAAATTTCAACAATACCATCTTCTGAAAATATCACTTTTTCCTTACCTGTCTGTGGCATGTACATTTACAGTTTTGACGGCACATCTCACTTCGGACTTTTCTCTTATGTCTCGAGCTAAGCCTTCCCAAACCATACCGAAGCTGCCTTGACCCAATTCTTTCATTAATAGAATTTGGTCTCTGGAGACCTCCCATTCGTCCTTTACATAAGGATTTGGAACATATTCAGGGTTAATTTCAGGAAATAGTACAGGCTTTCTTTGGGTTTTTCTATAGAGCCAACCGAAGAAAATAAGTCCCTAAAAATATTTGAAAAATAACTTCAGATATTATGGAGCTATTATGAAACCGATGCTTCACATTTTACATGGTAAAAAGAAACGGGTAAATGTTTTTAAACCTTTTTTGGTAGAACTTACGTTATTGGATGACTCCAATTGGATGAATTCAATATGTCACCGACACGGTGTTTATCGCACAAAGTGAAGTATCAGTAAAGTTATCATGTAACAATTAAAAACAATCAGCCATCACCTAGCATGGACTACGAATTAGCATAACCAATCCAAAGCTAATAATTACCGAGATAGCTAACAATAACAGGATTGGCGTCCAAAATAATGCCGAACATGAAGGGGTTGATAATTGTATAGATTTGGGTAGTGCTATTAATAACCATGTGCCACCACCATAGTGCATATATTCGAATGGGCGGATATCTGTCTGACAAATGCACTTTGGAGAAGGGAGTACGCCAAGGATGCGTTTTATCTCCCTTATTATTTAACATCTATTCGGAGTTCATAATGCGCAGAGTTTTGGATGGTTGGGAGGGAGGAGTAAACCTAGGTGGTGTTAAGATATCTAACTTGCGTTTCGCAGACGACACTACACTTCTAGCCTCTACTCCAGAAGAAATTACTAAATTATTAAAAAAACTCGAGGTAGAAAGTGCTAAATTTGGACTCATGGTTAACTACAACAAAACCAAAATCATGGTTATTGATCGCCAACAACAGTTTCCTGAAACCCAAACTATTGCGGGATGCGAGGTAGTCTCATCTATGATATATCTTGGAGCTCTAGTTAACAACACAGGCAGTTGTGAATCCGAAATTAGAAGACGCATTCAACTAGCAAGAGCAGCAATGAGTGAACTAAACGGGGTCTGGCGTGATCGTCACATTACTATGACAAACAAAAAGAGACTCGTTTCAACTCTTTTCCATATTTTACTATGCATGCGAGACATGGACAGTCAAAGAATCAGATCGACGACGTATAGACGCCTTTGAAATGTGGACATGGAGACGCCTGCTTCGAATTCCATAGACGGCTCGCCGTACAAATATCTCGGTTCTGGATGAAATTAAACCGGATCAGCGTCTCTCCAGTACCGTTTACTCTAGAATTTTAAAGTTCTTTGGCCATATCCATCGAAGTGATCACAAAATGGAGCGGTTGGTGGTCCAAGGAAGGCCTCAGACTCAACGCCAACGCGGAAGATCTCCACAGCGATGGGCGGACATTACTAAAAAGCTTCTCAATAAACAGTATACTGAGGCAATACATATAACTGATGACCGCGACCAGTGGAGAAATATTATCAATCAAACTGTCCGAGCTGCTGAAGCCCAATTATGAACCACAACACATCTACTAAGATGTTAATGACTGTGATGATGATGATTAATAACCAAGTAATCTGATGATAGGAAACGCCGTGTTCAGATGGACATAACAAGTATGTCCAACCTCAACAAATATCAAGATGAATCTAGTACAATATTCAGTTATGCCTGCGAAACCTAAACCATTAGAATATCAGATAAGAAGGACTCCTCAGAGGAGAATAACTGATGCATTTGAGATTCTGGACAGCCAGGCGACAAAACGCATATATTCCTGACGAGGTTAAGAACCAAGAAAGTCTCTTTAGCTTCATATTTACAAGAATATTAATCTACTTTGATTATATCACCCGTGCCCACAATATAGAGGCTAATGGTCCAAGGAAAACCGACGTGAAAGAGAAGGTAAGTTCGATTACCAACTTGAGGGACTGATACATTGGAAAAACTACTATACAGAAACTTCACGAAGGCTGTACCAGTAAAGCAGCATAGAGAAAGATGGAGAACTAGCAATAAGATCCCTGGAAGAACATCAAAATTCATCATCACTACATCACAACTAATAAAATTTAGAAAATAGAAGTACCATAGCATATGTTTAGCATTGTTTGTTGTATAGCCTTTAGTTTAAAACAGTGTGTGAAAACCCAATTATGGAATAAAATTGTAAAAAAAAGATTATGTACTATGCTAGACTTATCTGAATCACCGTGTACATTTAAACTGATGTTTAAAAAGCGCACATTTATATTTAAAGTTGGCAGTTCTCAGCGTTTTTTACAATTTTTTAAAATAAGGACACAAACAATTTTATTCCATAAGTGGTTTCCACACTATACAGGGTGTTTCAAAAAGGTATGTCATAAATTAAATCACGCATTCCAGGGACAAAAATAAATTGATTGAATCCAACTTACCTTAGTACAAAAGTGTACACAAAAAAAGTTACAGCCCTTTGAAGTTACAAAATAAAAATTGTTTTTTTGCATTATTTCCTAAACGTACTTGACATTTTGTAATAAAAATGGACACGTTAATTTCTTGTTCTGAAAGCATTTTTCATACAAAAGAAACAACAAAATCTAAGGGCACAAGAAAATTTTAAGGGGGTGTGCAGCCCTAAATCCCCCCAAACTTTTGAGTACGTTCAAATCAAATGAATTTTGCGGTATCATTAGTTTAATACATTATTTTTAAAATTTTTTGCCTCTTATCACTTTTTTCAAGAAACAGTTTTTATTGAGTTACACTTTCGTACTAAGGTAAATTGGATTCAATCAATTTATTTTTGTCCCCAGAAGGCGTGATTTAATTTATGATATACCTTTTTGAAACACCCTGTACATTAATTTAATTTGATATATATAGGCGTACTATAATTTTACTTACCATGATCAAAATGAACAACAGAATTGATACTACGAGTGCTGTGTTTGAAGAAGGCTCGTCGATATAAAAGTAAATATAGTTAGACTGTTCTTTTCTATTAGGAGAGGACTTAGCAAAAATACACAAACTGTAATTGCCTGGAATTAGCTTTGACACTGTGTAGTATAAAGTTACATTTCTACTTGTGACGTTGATGCATTCTGGAACAGCTTTTGCCTGAAATAAGAAGTCGTTAGTCAGAATTTAATAACTGGTCTGGAAGAGAATTAATTATTGTTTTTTGTCCGACATGTTCGTGCCTGTTTTAGCAATAATTAATACACGATATATCTCAGCTTCATTGTAGTATACATTTTGAGCATATGGGGACCGCAAAATGTGGATCTACCTTCACCAAAATATATAATTGAAACGATAGACACTGTCACTTTTGCGCTCATTTTTTTTTCAGAAGCCGTCTGTTTAAAACGTTTGTTACATCAGCCTTTTGCCTATCAAACATCAGTCTGGCGTTCGATGACGTGTGACACACCAGTCTAGAAGCTGATGGAATATACCCGATCAACGATCAAGAGCATCCACTCCAACAGCATCGAGAAATTTCTATTGGAGCGGTTCACAAAATATATATATATAATATATATATATATATATATATATATATATATATATATTATATATATATATAAAAGAGAGATTTATTTGTAGTAGTTAGTTTAAGAAATAAATTCATGGTGTTAAGGAATAAATATTATAAATTCATTAATTGTGTTTTTAGTGTTGAATTAAAATAAGTGTTGGAAAACTATAAATAAAAACTAAAATTAAATAAAATGTCACACAGTCATACTGCAGCCAACTGACTTATTGTATAACGTTTATATTGCAGTTAACTCTAGTTGTTATTGTATATTTTACTTACATTATCTAAATCAATCTTCTTGGACTCTATTATGTAGGCAAATATATTTCCATTGGGGTCTTTTGGTTGATGCCATGACACTGTAACGCTGTCTTGGGTCTTATGTACAAGAGTAAGGTTACTTATAACGTCAGCTCCAACTGAAACATAAAAACAAAAGTCTAAGTAGATGTTTATTAACAGTATTACCATTTATTTATTTAACTTCGCCTATGATGGAAGCGGAGAAAAATCGGTTGTGGCTCAGGAGTCAGTTCTTACATATATTATGAACTGTCCTAAAGGAAAATTTTCGAATCGGTCATGAAAATCCTGAAAATTTTCAGGATCGCCGTACGAGAGCGTATCAAGATCCTGGAGAGCGATAAGCCCAATACAAATTTAACTTTGGTGGTGACACAGTAATGGTCTGGGGAGATATCTCTCAGTTTAAAAGCACGCACAGAGCTGGTTTGTCAGCTCATAGGTGTAATACTGATATTGTAGAACCTTACGTTATAATAATAATAGCGTTTATTGTCCAACAGAATCCATTTATAGGACAAAATACAATACTAAAGTTAAATGAAATATAACAATTCATAGGTACTAACTAAATAACACATTTTTCGAGTATTTTACCTTAACATAAAGAAACGACTCAATCACTTAGGCAGATCTCAGCCATCCTAGCAAGCTGCTTTAAACTGCAGTGAAATATATCGCAGTAAGCACTTACGGAATTATAATAGTTGCACATGAGAACTAGAGGAGAATGTAACATAAGATTAGTTCTAGCTTGTGTAATTCTAAACGTAATCGAATAGCATTTAATCGTAATCGACTTCCTTCTTATTTAATGTCCATGTCTCACCGGCATATGTTACTGTGGGTCGAATTACTGTTTTATACATTCTGAGTTTACCTTGTCTAGAAACGTATTTTGAGTTCAGTAGGGCTCTTAAACTACCTAATTTTTTATTCCCTTTGGCTATTCTGGCTTCGAGCTCCCTTTTCTCTTTTCCATTTTCATCGAAAACTACACCCAGGTATTCAAATTTCTCCACACTCTTCGAAATAAAAGCTCCAGTTCCCAAATCGATTTTCGGTCATATATTGTTGTTTGTCTAATGAAATCGGAAGACGAACAACAAGAAGAATCAAAACAGAATGAAAGTGAAGAAGATGAAAGGTCAACTGTACCGAAAAGATAAGATAGGTCATTTAGTGATAAAGCATGCAGAAAATGCAAGAAGAAGATGCAGGCAGTGTTCTAATCATACTGTTTTTGTTTGTCAAAAATGCCAAGTACATTTGCACTCTAAATGTTTTGAAATTTTTCACAAAAATAAATTTGTATACTTCTTTCAATTTTTTTATCTGTTTCGCCAAAGGTTCGTAAACGAGCCATTTTTTTGTTGTGACACCTGTCAGTATCAACGTGTAAAACAATTTTTTTACGAATGTTTAAGTTTATTTTACCCCAGTTAATAAAATATATTACATATTATTGTAGTATTTCTTTGCTTGGCGGTTAATGGGTTAATTTTGAAATCTCTTTAGTAATGCTACCAAAAATAATAACCCTTTATTTTTTACTACATGATATTTTTGAAAATGAAGATGGAAAAATTAAAAATTATTTTAATTAATTATTAAGCCAAAGAAAGAGCCTATAAATGTGTTCTGTATTTACCGCCATATGAAACGTTTTATAAATAGATTCAATACCGATGATTCCGTTATACATTTAAAAACAAATAAATTAGTCGTGTAGTTCTCTCTTTGTGAATACCCAGGTAAATAAAAACATCAAAGATTCGTATACCGACGTACTTTGTCTTCGAGTATAATTTATTTGTTTACAGTATATGCTACGTTTGGGAAAACAGTTCGGATATCGCACAAAGGACTGTAAAAATATTCGTATACCCTATTTAAAACACTCGTATGTTTATTAAGTATATAAGAATCACAATAAATAGGTGATGTTTTAATAAAGTATACCAAATAAATCAATAATATTAATAAAAATGATATAAAGTCGGTTTTCTATATTTACGAGGGTTTCGGATTAACAAAATTATGCTAATGATTCATTGATAACCAGTTGCAGTAAAAGACTTCTCAGAAAATTAGGTAAAAAACGGCATTAAGGGTCATATTTTAAAATACATTAAAATAACATTAGGGTAGGTATAAATTTGTTACAATATTGCAGTTGAATTGATTCTTTGCCAGTGTTGACATTGTATGTTTGATGGAAATATTTTAAAATGCCTAGACGTGTGTTAGATGTAGATAGTCTAATTTGTAGTGTACATAAGTATTTTACGGATGAAAAAGAAAATGGCGGTCCTTTAAAATCGGTAATGTCTGTTCAACAACGCTTATGTGATGCTCTAGGAATTAGTGAAACCAAACTAAGAGGAGTATTACAAATTCGCAATAATGAACGGCCGAAAGAAGATCACCGAAAAACTCGCCTATCATTGAAAACGAAAGATATTCCAGATGGAAAAAAATTTGAAATTCGTGATACCATTTATCGAATGCGAGCCAACAAGGAACATGTGGCCTTAAATAAAATTCTCTCGGAATTAAAAGATAGAAAATGTGACGAGATTGGCAGAACAAGTCTATGGCAAGTGATACATAATTTGGGTTTCAAATTTCAAAAGGAGGATAACAGAAAAGCCATTTGTGAAAGAAGTTTTGTTGTGCATAAAAGAATTAACTTTCTAAGAAAATATTCTAAATTAAAAGAAGAAAGGGCAAATTTGATATATTTAGACGAAACATGGATATTTTCTAGGGGTGCAACCAAGAGAATATGGCAAGATGATAACGTAAAGTCTATCAAACATACTGACGGAGAAGGGAAGCGACACATAATTTTACATGCAGGAGGGAAATCGGGTTTTATAGAAGGTGCTGATTTAATATTTTCATCTAAATCAAAATCAAGTGACTATCACGATAATATGAACACAGAAATGTTTGTAAAATGGTTACATGAAAAACTTCTCCCAGGTTTAAGTGAGCCCAGCGTAATTATTTTAGACAATGCACCTTACCATTCTGAAGTATTAAACAAAAGTCAAACGAATTCTTGGACTGTTAATAAAATTAAAGAATGGTTGACAAAGGAACATATACCATTTACACAACATATTTTAAAATCAGAATTATTACGCTTGGCAAATATCCACGCAAAACCAAAAACCTTTGTTGTGGATCAGATTATTGAAAGTTACGGTCATCAAGTTTTACGTCTGCCACCGTATCATTGCCAGTTTAATCCCATCGAATATATATGGGGAATAGCAAAACAATATTATGACAACCATATAGGGCATACAACACTAAAGTGGAACTGGGCAGGTCATGTAGCAAGATCAGTTGATGACCGGTGGACAAAAAGAATTTTGGAATGGAGACCCCGAATACAAGCTTACAGAAATAGAGGTCGACCCCCAACGAGATGGACAGATGACATAAAAAGAGTGACTACAAATTGGATTCAGATGGCGCAAAATCGGACTAAGTGGAAAAGCATGCGAGAGGCCTATGTTCAGCAGTGGACGTTAGAGGCTAGTTGATGATAGGGCATAACGGTTATAGCGACGATGCAGTTCGGGAAACTTGGCGAAAGGCACTTTCAATTGTAACTCCAGAAGTGTGGTGCAACTGTATATTCAAGTGCGAGAAACTAATAGAAGATTGGTGGACTCGTGAAAATAAAATAAACGAAATAAGTCCAATCATAATAACAATTAATGGTGATGACAGTGATGATGATGACGATTATGATATTTTAGATGATAATGACTGATTTTCATTTTTGTTGGCAAGTTAATTTTTTTTATTTTTCATTAGAAATTCTCTCCATGGAACAAATATACATAGACCATATTTTCTGTGTGAAGTGTAATATAAAATTATTATTAGGTTTATATTAGCCACATTAGACTCCATTAATGAAGTAATTCTGCTTATTATACTGTCAATTATATAAAATATTTTTCATTATTATTTAATTAAAACAAGTTATGGATTAGTTTTCATTTCATTTGACCAGTTGATATTTCCCCAAAGAGCAGGTAATTAAAACTGGGTACTTACAATAAAATTTTTAATCCGAAACCCGCGTAAATATAGCGAACCGACTATACAAGCCCTAACAACTATATGTTGGAACAAGCAGTTATTTTGCGAATATAATGCCAATTTACCGAAATTCTTTTATTTATTTTTTTTTAAGTTGTAAATATGAAATTAACAACATTTTTTATGATGTATGGAATTATTTTTGTGGCTTAATTATATATTTTTATTGAATACTATGTAATTAATCGTTTGATAATCGAAAACTGCTGACAACTAAATATTGGAATATATTTTTTGCTTTTCCTCAAGTTTCTTAAATTTTATCAGCCTGACACAAAGAGGGCTTCGAAACCAAACATACCAGTAGGTAGTGCGTTGTCACCAATAATTGCCATGGCTCATTTGAGTATGAATAAAGACGACTGTCAGTTTTATTACGGGTAAAATATAATAATGAAACGTACTGATCCAAAAGTTCGAGAAATTATTATTCATCAGTACCATGAAGGGAAAACATTGCGTGAAATTTCCAATGAATTGACTATAGCAACAACTACGATGTTTAATATAATCAATAAATATTGTGAAACTGCCAGTATTGATTCTACTGCCAGTAGAAAACGCTCAGGCACCCCAAAAGCTGTTTCTCAAAGGAGTGTAAAGCATTTAATTCGAATATATAAGTCGGGAAGAAGGAATACACTACGAGAAGTAACCGTTTGAAAAAATAGATAAACTGGGATGAACGTTTCCAGAGAATCCCGTTGCAACTATATCCACAAAAGCAGTTTTTATAAGGTATGTTTGACAGGTTCTTTTTTGCAATATATATTTTTTGTTTATTGATTTATTCGAGTAGGCCAAAGAAAAACCATTGATGACGGAAACTCAAAAAAGGAATCGTGACATTTGAGCTAAATTAAAACTTTCGTGGACCAAAGTTATCTATAGCGACGAAAGCAAATTTGATGTCTGTGTGGGAGATTATCGAAAGCGTGTGATTCGGCAAAAAGTGTAAATCGAGAAGCATTTCATTAGGATTTTCTCTAAAGAACTGTAAAGTTTCCACAAGGTATCACGGTTGGGTTGTATGTCGGCAAGAGATTTGGGAACATTACATTTTATTGAGGCCATAGTAAACTCAGGTAAATATCGATATATCCTTAAATATTGGCCTCTACCAGGTGCGGCATAGTTATATCCATTCGGAGATTTTATCTTTCAGCAGGACGGAGCCTCATGCCATACGGCTAAATCTACCAAATATGGATGGGATAACATGACATTAACGTTTCGTCACATCCTTCTAGCAGCCCGAATCTTAATCCAATAGAGGCACTTTGACACAAAATGAAACAACCCCTAAGAAATAACCCTCAGCGTGCTTTGCCACAAATACGTGCTAAGTTATAAGAAATATGAAATAGTTTCACCCCTGAATTCTGTGAAGGCCTAGTTGGTACAATCCATAATAGGCGGTTTTCAATCTAAGGGCGACGTTACAAATTATTAATATTTATTTTAATATGTTAAAATCATCTTGTTCCAACATTTAGTTGCCAGCATGTTTTGGCTATCAAACAACTAATTAAATAGTAATCAACAAAAATTACATAATTAAACTGTTAAAATAATTCCATATATCATAAAAATGTTGTTAATTTCATATTTACAATTAATAAAATTAATTTACTTCTGTATTTTCGATTTGCCTTCGCCATGTAAGACTAGGCCAAGGATTTTTTGGGTATCGGCAACATCTAAATTCTAATTTATTACATTTCTTTAGCTTTATTAAAACTAGGAGGTGATTCCCTATACTTTTAGGCGTTTCAAACTATTTTAGCCCTATAAGGTGTTATTGGTTATATTCAGATTTATACAGCTCAAATAAATAACTAAAAACTTACCTTTTTCTTTAGTCCTAACCGTTTTCATTGCTTCAACACTACATACTTCATCACGGCAGGCCCGAACATGAATATCATACAAAGTATAGTGATGTAAGCCCTTTAAAAGATAATGCGTAGGCGTAGTATTTGTTTTATACGAATATACGGGGTTATTTATTAAATATTTTGATGGATTATCTGTAGATTCTTGGAGGGAACTATTTGTAAACAGGACTGCTTCTCTTTTGTCTCTTTTTGCCGGCCTAAAAAGAAAGTGTTTTGTAAATTAAGACGGAAACCGGAAAATTCATATTACATATTTATTTTTGTCATATATTCTAATGTTATACACTATAAAATAAAACTAAAAGTAGAATGAATACTTTAAAAATACAAAAAAAATTCAAGATGTTAAAAAAACGCCATTCAAACAATATTTAGTATCTTATATTGGTCCGAATGGCTTCACTATAGGAAGTTAATATTTTAGAAAACTAAATTATGTACAGTGTTATTATTGTCTAACATTACGAGATCGGCTTATAACGAGGTGATTAGTTTGCCATTTTAGTTCTCGTTATAGAGGGAGTCTACTGTATTATATTATGTTAATAGAACAAATTTTCACTCAATTTTAGCCAAATCCACCAATCTTTCATTTTAGTTTTAAAAATATTAGAAATATTATGAATTTGTTTACCAATAATAAATTCATATTAAAATTACTTGAATCTGTGACCTGAGACCCTGTGATTTCTTCCTGTGGAGCCTTCTCAAGGACAGCTTGACGTGTTTCGCCAAACCTGCATCCCCATTGCAAAACGTTGCAGCAAATGCATTGATCAAGATGGGCATTAATTTGAACACTTACAGTAACCCTTTTTCGAATCCCTATTGTAATTTCTTTGAATAAATTTATTTTGACGCTGCTTTTTTCTCTTACTGCAAATTTGTTGCTTGACCGAACTTGTTGATAAACACACGTGATGGTTATCAACAGGTCCTCGAAGACACTTCGTCTCAGGACCATTTTACCTATGTAGTTCATATGGTCCTTATGTAGTTCGTATGGGTCATACGTCGCCATGTTACCAATTCCAACGGTAACTTAAACATCCTAATTTGTAACTATATATATACATATATATATATATATATATATATATATATATATATATATATATATATATATATATATAATGTAAAACAACTGTAAATTTATAACATTTAAAGGGTTTTGACCCATATATTTCGGTGGCTCATAGCATGTATACTGTATACCCTGTTTACACTGATGATGGATTTAACAATCCGAAAATGTTCTGTAATCTAATTGTTATAGACCGTTTGGGCAGTTATAACTTCGTCTTAGAGTAATTTGTCATCATAATGGCTATTTTTATTTTTGAACTGCTGCTATAAACAAATCAATCGATCTGCACTGATACCAATCACCAATCTTCAACCAAAAATTCTGTCTTCGACCAACAGATACTCTTTCTTGAATCTTTCCTTGTAAGATGAGTCTCAAAATTTCTTATTTGGTCTTCTCATCTAGGTATTAGGTTTTTAGGTAATTAAGTTGTAACTGTTTTGTGCAAAAAAAGTCTCGTTGCCTTTGACAATTTTTTTTCAAGCTTTTCCCTGGTGAGTTTGTCCTCAAGCGCGACTAGTACGCGCTCGAGACGCATCGCCCCGCCCCTCATTTTTTCCTATTGGTTCCTGACCTGGAAATCCCTATTTATCGCTACATTAGCGTATATAAAAATAGGCGATTTTCAGGTCAACGAAGTCAGTCCTTCACGGGCTCTCCGAGAGCTTAGTGCTCTCGGGGCTCTGCTTTTTCTTTTAGCCTACCCTATACTCTGTGGCTGAGATTTTTATTCAACTTTAAACTTGGTGTTTTATTTCGACTATTTAGTCGTGTAAGAAATATCTTGCCTTTGTTAAGGCAAGCCACTATAGACTGCATCCTGATATTTATTTCGACTTATAAGTCATGTAAGAAATAGCTCGTCTTTTTCAAGGCGAGCTCATCAGAAGAAAACCTTTTACGAATCCATACCCCGCAAATGGATTCAAGTAGAGGGGCTTTCGTCGACGTTTCCGAAGCCCTCTACAGAGCACACGGTTGTAGAGAAGGTGATTTAGACCCTTTTCATTTACCCCGAGGTGACATGGCGCCCAACAACGTGGATTATTCCGATCCCACGACCCAGCTCAACTCGCAGCAGAAGGCAGCACACCATTGACTTCAACATGGGTTGAAGTCAAGAGAAGAACGGGGAGAACCACGGAGTGTTACCGGATGCCTTCGACGTGCGGGCGACTTTGACGAGCCAGCCTTCTTCGAAGTCAGAAGCCCCAGATGCCAATGGAAGTCCCCGAGCAGACCCAGCCATCGCCCCCCTACCGAAAGTGGTTGGACGACCACGTAGGCTTCGGCACCCTGGTACTCTGCAAAACCCCGTTGGATATGGCAGATGGGATCCGGACGACCGAGAAGAAGACGAACCCGTTGGAGGAGTCGGCACACCGATCGAGAATGGACCTGCGGGAGCCGGAGATGCCGTCAACGCCACCAAACTTCCCCGTTAGTGCAGTGTGTTGTGAGTTTCAAAGACAATTTGATTTTATGACCTTATTACTTTTTGCATTTTCATGTATTTTCTTTATGTATTCCACATGTATTTGTATTGTATTTTTTATTGTAATTTTTTAATAATTCAATAAATTTCTTTCCCAGCCACAGAGTCTCCAGAGGAGGGGGATGTCCTCGGACGCGACTAGTTCACGTTCGAGACGCATCGCCCCGCCCCTTATTTTTCCCGTTGGCCCCTCCCTGACCTGGAAATCCCTAATCGCTACTTCAGAAAGTATAAAAATAGGCGATTATAAAAATAGGTCAATCGAAGACGAGTCATCAGATGAGAAAACTTTTACAAGTCCATAACCTGAAAGTGGACTTGGGTAGAGGTGCTTTCGTTGACGTCTCCGAAGCCCTCTACAGAGCACCCGGAGGCAATAGAAGGAGTTTAGACCGCTATGTGTTCCCCGGAGGTGACAAGTTCACCTTTCAACATACTTTCCCTGTGAGCCTAATAAAATGACACAACACCAAAGATGTTTTTGTAATGACGACAACTTTTAATTCTCAAGAAATGAAACTCATACAAAGAACTCAAAAGAATGGACAAAATTAAACCTATGTACATACTGCCCTAACGCAATTGGAAGGAAGTCGAAAAAAAAAATACTTTTTCCGGGTTATCTGGTTCCTTTTCGAAACATCCCTAACGACTTTCCAGCTGTAGATTCTTAGGACTGGGAGTTTGTACCATGTGTTTTAGATAAACAGTTTGCTGCCCTTGAAAAACTGAACTAGCCTCTCTGCTCTCTTATTAAATGTTAATAGTCCATATTCGCCTACTAATTCTCCATCTCTTCCTTTGCCTACCTTCGCTTGAAGTCGCCTAAAATAATAACTTCCTCTTTTTTGTTTTCTTCCGGTGTTTTATCATTGTAAAAGCTGTCTATTTTTTCTGTTTATAGGAGCACTAATTCAGCACTGGCTTCATAGGCATGAGACGTCTTGTGGGGTCAGTCATAATCTTCAAACCAATTAACGAAAGGCTCTGCTATAATAGACTAAAATGCCAGCTGCATAACTACTCCCCCATTGCCGTCCATGTACCGATAGAGGAAAAGTAAGAGCAAATAAAAGACAACTTCTGTGAAAAACTAGAGGAATTAACAAATAATCTCCCTAAACAGGGAGATTATTTGTTAATTCCTCTAGTTTTTCTATAAATATAATATTTTCAATAATCTCCCTAACCTAAACAGAACATGCACATTATCTTGGGAGATCTTAATGAAAAGATTGGAAAGGAAGTAGCATACAGATCAACAATAGGTAACCACGGTATCCATGAGGCCAGTAATGATAATGGAACAAGGTTAATAAACTTTGCATCATTCCACAATCTGTTAATAAAATCAACAATTATGGACCACAAGAAAATTCACAAAGAACCGTGAGTCTCCAACAATTGTGTCACAAGAAATCAGATCGATCATGTTCTGGTAGATGCCAATAGATATTGTAAGTGCCTAGGTTTACGAGACCTAGGAGGGGCGGATGAAGACACGAATCATTTTCTGATAAAAGCGAAGGTGAGGACAAGAATAGCGTCCCCAAAAACCCATTATAATATGAAATACCGAAGTTCTGCCCATCAAGAACAGCAAACTTCCTTTAAAAAGATAGTGGATAGCTTATTGGTAATGCAAAGGAAATTCTAAAAACCTGGAAGGAATACTTGTGTCTACTGTTAAACAACCAATCTAACGGAAATACATCAAACATAGAGGTGTAACTGAAATATAAGTACAATACCCGATATATGAAGAAGTAACCCAGGCAATTAAAAAACTTAAAAATAATACGGCACTATTATAGGCAGCGATGGTATACCCGCAGTGTCTAAAACGCGGAAGAAAAGCGCTATACAGATCTATCTACAAACTACTTAAAGGCATGTGACAAGAAGAAACAATGCCAGGTGAACGGAAAGAAGGGGTCACAATCAAAAAAAAAAAAAAAAGGAAACAAAAAGTAATGTATTAACTACCAGAGAATAACGCTCCTTGCGTACAAATTAGCTAACTACAAAGTCTTTGCAAACATCCTGCTAGAAAGAACCAAAACATACACAGAAGAAGAAATTGGGGATTACCAAAGAGTTTCAGAAAAGGTCACGGAAATACTTGGAAACAATGTGTTGTTTTATATTCTGGAACTGGTAATGGATTTGTTGAAGATGCTGGACTATTTATTTTCTACCAAATCGAAGGGTACAATCATGATTCGATGGATGAGTTTTCTAAAAAATGAGTGCGAAAGGCTTACACCAATGCTGGAACTAAATATTGGTAAACGAGGCAAAACACGTGTATTGTTTCATTAGTTGGATGAATATTTTTAGTTATATTATACAATTTTTTTTATTTATGTGTTACACAAAAAATTACTTACCTCTTAAGATAAACCTGATTGAGAAGATTGTCTTCAAATTGTATTCTTTCTTCGACGCCTTCATCAAATTGTGTCGTACTTTGAGTAGAACTTTCACATTGACAATTATGCAAAGGTGTTGGTTTTGGGGTAGTATGAGTTTCTTCCTTAGGGGCTACAAGGAGACAGTTAAAAATAAAAAAATAACCATTTAGACTAATGTTAAAACACTTACTGTGATCACTGCAGTAATCATGTTCTTGATTGTAGGTCAGGTCATAATGTATTTTTCTTGTAATCACATAGTGCGTTATGAGGCCGTTGGGTCTTATTGGAGGAAGCCAGGTAATGTACAAAGAGTCACTAGCATTGCTGATAACATTAAGGTTACTTGGATGTAGGGGCACTATAATATAAAATAAGATTAAAGTACATTATTTACTATAAATTGGTGGTGCTACAATTTAAAAATATACAGTGTGGTCCTAAAGTAATTGTACAAGGGTGCTACTTTAAGATACATGGTGTTAAAGTGGAAATTTAAAATTTTATTTTTCGCTATAATTTTCATGTTTGTAAACATTTATTAATAAAAATTTACAACTGGGCACTATTGAATATAAGGAATTATAATTTGATGCATACTTTGATGTAGTTGATAGAGGGCGCCACATATGCCACATATGTGACATACATTTGCACTTAACTTTTTTGCTCTTTAAGTTACCGGTATTTGTGATATAAAATATTAACGATACATTATTTTAACAAAAAAAGGTATACTGGTTAATAACTTCAAAACTCAACAGTTTTCGAGATAATCGCATTTTACAAATCAACTGCATAATTCTGATTTAACGCAATTACTCCAGGTAATAAAAGAAAAATAGATAAAAACATCAATGCTTCTGAATTTTGTTATAAAATACCTTTAATAAAGTTAATAGTTAACGAAATATTAAATAAAATAAATATATCAGCAGGATAATTAATAATAGGTTTGACAAAAAAGCAGAACAATATGATTTTACATCAAACATTTTACGTTTTAATTAAATTAAAGTCATAATAAAAACATTTATTTACAAACTAAATTAAAAAATAATTACACTAAAATAACATTTTTTAATGCATAAAAGCATACGTTTATTTAAAATTCACATTTAAAATGGATGTCGTATGGTTTGGAACCATCGGTAATGATTTTTACGGATATGCGAATTACCTTGTAATTTGAATGGTGAGATTTATTTACATTTTTTATAAAATAATTTTATTGATTTATTGGAAGAATTCTCATCAAACTTGTCGAGAAATGTGTGGTTTATACAAGATGATACACCAATACATTCCAGAAAAAGGAGAGTGAGAACAGTATTTAAATACAACTTTCCTGTACGTTGCATTTTTCGTGGTAGTCATATTCCTTGGTGATGTGGTGAGATATTAATATAATTATTTAATTCATAAAAATCCCAAAAGAATACCTAATATTATACTTATAATACTTATTATATTACTATAACTAATATTAATATTACTAATAAAATTTTAAATTTCTACTTTAATACCCTGTATCTTTATTAATATCAACATTTTATTAAAGCAATTTTGCTTAAATCGTAATATTTTAAAGTGTAGAATCTACGTACAATTACTAAAGGACCACCCTTGTGCTAAACTTGTGAAATTGTGAAAGGGATTCCACCTCCTTTTCATTATTTTATCACTGCTTATTGAGTTTGACAGTCCTTGCTGCATATACAGGGTGATTGATTAGTGTTAGGAAGCTCAGTAGATCTGTTATAGTAAAAATTACAAAAAAAAGTTATTAACAAAAATTGTAGGCAGCTTTAAACTCCATATTTTAAAATTAGTTACATTCCTACAGGGTGTTCCATAAGATGGTGGCAGACCAAACTTATGTTTTTTTAAATGAAACACCCTGTATTTTATTTTAAATTTGAAATCTGCTTCACTTCCACATTACAACAATGTAAAGTTTTATTATGTTATACCGGGTATTTAAAAAGTTATAACCAATATTACCTGAAAATCGTATCAAGTTTAACTCCCTGTATAATTAAAAAGGATTGTAGGAACATTGATCTATTGCAACCATAGTTTTTTAATAATTGTTAAAAACTATAAAACATATTCATTTTCATAATATTCGTTAAATCAAATACAGGGTAAGTCAAAATGCAAGTACATTATTTTCTTGGTAATTTTAAATAGAACACCCTGTATTTTATATCACTATCGAAAAGAACTAATATCGTACTTCATATTTTATGAAATGAAGTACTCCCTATACCTAAAGTTATTAGTTTTAAAGATATTTTTATTTTTCCATTTAAAATTAGTTACAATCCTACAGGGTGTTCCATAAGATGGTGGCAGACCAAACTTATGTTTTTTTAAATGAAACACCCTGTATTTTATTTTAAATTTGAAATCTGCTTCACTTCCACATTACAACAATGTAAAGTTTTATTATGTTATACCGGGTATTTAAAAAGTTATAACCAATATTACCTGAAAATCGTATCAAGTTTAACTCCCTGTATAATTAAAAAGGATTGTAGGAACATTGATCTATTGCAACCATAGTTTTTTAATAATTGTTAAAAACTATAAAACATATTCATTTTCATAATATTCGTTAAATCAAATACAGGGTAAGTCAAAATGCAAGTACATTATTTTCTTGATAATTTTAAATAGAACACCCTGTATTTTATATCACTATCGAAAAGAACTAATATCGTACTTCATATTTTATGAAGTACTCCCTATACCTAAAGTTATTAGTTTTAAAGATATTTTTATTTTTCCATCAAAGTATTAATTTGGTAGATATTTTAACGTTTGCCAATAATTATTGTGAGTTGGCCATGATTGATTTGTCAGAAACTGACAGTTTGACATTAATATTTATTAATTCAGTATTGGGGTACACCGTAAATTAGCAACAATTATTATTTAGTAATTCAGTAACTGATTCAATTTAAATTAGTAATAATGAATTTTACTACTGATGAAATGGTAGATATGATCTGGATATTGGGGGAATGCAATAAAAATTCATTACTATCAGCTAGAATTTATCAAGAACGGTTTCCAGATAGGCGACAACCTAGACAAGATACATTTGAAAAATTGAAAGGTCGATTTAACCGCACTGGTTCAGTGAATTATGAAAAACATGAACGAACAAAAACTAGTGTGACAGAGGAAAACGAAATGAGTGTGTTGATGGCGGTTACAGAAAACCCACACACAAGCATAAGGACTATTTCCTATGAACAAGAACTTAGTTACTACTCTGTTCAAAACATTCTATCTAAAAACAAGATGCACCCTTATCATATTCAAAAGCAGCAAGAATTAATTAATGATGATTATCAGAAACGAATAGTATTTTGTGAATGGGCCTTAGAAAAAATTAATGAGCAGAGAGATTTTTTTGATTATGTCCTATTTGGTGATGAAGCTACATTCCATCGAAACGGTTCTTTTAATAGGCATAACTTTCACTACTACTCAACAAGTAATCCATACCACATAGTAACACATAGTCAAACAAGATGGTCTCTAAATGTGTGGGGAGGTATCGTCGGTAACCATGTAGTAGGACCATATTTTTTTGAAGATAGTGAGATTTATTTAGATTTTATCGTAAATCAGTTACCGATATTATTAGAAGAGGTTCCACTTAATATACGTGAAAAAATGTGGTTTCTACATGACGGTGCTCCTGCGCACCACAACGAATTAGTACGTGGTGAACTTAATAATCAGTTTGGGGAAAGATGGATCGGAAGGGATGGACGGGATCATTTTTTTGGGGTTACGTTAAGAACGAAGTATATAAAATACCCAAAAACAAGGGATGATATGAAAAATAGAATCCGAATTGCATTTCAAAATATTTCTTTACAAATGCTTAGTAACCAACTCTTTCAATGACCGTTTTCAAGCATACATAGATGTTTTGGGGGTCATTTTGAACACCTTACTTAAGTAAGATAAGTTAAACTTACTGTTGTTTTTAATTTTTCTATGTGTTGTTATATTTTTTTTTTATTTTCCGTCGGTTATTTTTTATAAATTTTATTTTAAATAAATTGTTTTCTTTTCTGTGTCGTTATTTCGTTACTAAATTATTAAACAATAATGTCAAACTGTCAGTTTTTGACAAATCAATCACAACCAACTCACAATAATTATATTGTGAGTTGGTAAACGTTAAAATATCTTGATATTTTAAGATAATATCTTGATCAAAAATACTTTGATTGAAAAACAATAATATCTAGAAAACTGAAAACTTTAGGTATAGGGAGTACTTTATAAAATTTGAAGTACGATATTATTACTTTTTGATAGTGATATAAAATACAGGGTGTTCTATTTAAAATTACCAAGAAAATAATGTATTTGCATTTTGACTTACCCTGTATTTGATTTAACGAATATTATGGAAACGAATATGTTTTATAATTTTTAACAATTATTTAAAAACTATGGTTGCAATAGATCAATGTTCCTATACTCCTTTTTAATTGCACAGGGAGTTAAACTTGATACGATTTTCAGGTAATATTGGTTATAACTTTTTAGATACCCGGTATAACATAATAAAACTTTACATTGTTGTGATGTGGAAGTGAAGCCGATTTTAAATTTAAAATAAAATACAGGGTGTTCCATTTAAAAAAACATAAGTTTGGTCTGCCACCATCTTATGGAACACCCTGTTAGATTGTAACTAATTTTAAAATGTGGAGTTTAAAGTTGCCTACAATTTTTGTTAATAACTTTTTTGAGTAATTTTTACTATAACAGATCTACTGAGCTTCCTCACACTAATCAATCACCCTGTATATAGTAAATAATATAGAAATTCCACAAGACACGAGTTTCAGGACCATATAACACCGGAGTTTAACTTAAAAAGTAAGATGATAGCTTATGTACACAAAATTAACACAGGAATAGCAGTATATTCAACTAAAATATCTTACTGGAAGGTAACGTCCTGAAATACTGTATTACGCTTTGGGCACCGTTTCTTTCGCTAGCTATTGTATACGTTTTTACATAAAATGCATATTGAGTATATGGTTCTAAGTTTTTAATTTTGTATGTAATAATGTCTTCATCCTCTTTATTGGGTGTGTCAACAACCTTCCAACTAAAACAAAAACGAATATATTAAAAAATGTATTAAAAAAATAAACAATATTTAACAGTGACATCTCTACTGTAATCGCCAGCTAGGCAGAACTTTATTAATTCCGAATGTTACCAAGATCGGTGTCAACAACGTTTAAATTGAATCCGTAAGAATATCTGCGCTGATTCTTCGTATCTTCGTAGTGACGAACACTATACACCTGTACTCTGTACAAGTATTTAGTAGGAATGAATGATATCTGTGTCATACATACATGCTATATTGACTATTATACTTACTTGTCTTGACCACAGGCGTCTTTGCTGTCATATTGGGAGATATTTGTAACTGGGGCTTCTGTGTATGAAATAATATAAGCCAAAAGCTTGCGTGGGTCTTCCAAACGAAAAGCTTTCCATTCTAACGTAGACGAATTTGATTCTATATTGGTGACTGTAACATTCAGCGGCGTTATATTACCTAAAAATTAAAGAATGGAAAAACGGAATAGACCATATTAGCCAAATAAGAGTAGTATTAATAATTAGTACAAAAGAAAAGAAATACTAGATCACTAATAAGATGTACTTACATGCAGTTTTGTCGCCGTTAGAATTTTTAGCTACTTCCAAATCCGTAAAGTTATCCAAACCAGCAATTTCTTGCAACTTGAGAATTTTTTCATAACACAACTTTGGATTAAAGTGGAAAAACAGTTTCCCTGAAAGAATCTTCAGAGGATATGGACGCGAATCCCAATCCCATAGATCTTGCAAATTCTGATTATCGAACACGCTGAACACATATTTCCCGTTATCCTTTTCTTCGCCCTTTATTACTTTAAGACTTTTCAGAAAACTTAGCGACAGCAACGAAAATGATCTGACTACCTTCAAATAGCCACTAATTTCTTCAATAGTTTTTAAGTTTGCTTCCAACTCGGTAATGTTTGCTACAAAAATATAAACATAAATTAATATGCAAAATAAAAAAAAATATATATAAAACAAAGGTATATTTATAACAAAACGGATGTATGCACGTAATGCATAAAATACGTGCCTCCTAGTGGTGGCACGAGCAACAATACAATGTAAGCGGGTGTGGGGTAATACTGCAGGTTGGTTGCATTGGTGGTATGTTGGTCTAATCGTACAGGAAATGATACTGACAGAAAAGGCAGTCAGGCATGAAATGTTCAAAAATCATTTAAGTACATAATAATGACAATACAATACAACATAACAAGAATTATACTGAAATGATGGCATCTTCTAAGGTAAGATGTTCCGAAAGCAAACTTGGAAGTCTTACATGTAAGAAAATGAAGTTGGTAGATGGGAAGGGATAGAAGGGAAGCGTTTTACGACCAATTACACCAAGTAATAAATCAAGTCAGAATAACACCCGTGGACAAAGATTTATGATAGATTATATTATAACGAACAGAGATATACATCCATCAAAAATAATCGACGTAAGATGTAGGTAGCGACCATAGCGTAGTATTATGTAAAATAAGAATAATCCTGAAATACTTCCCACCCAAGAGAGAATGGAACGATCATATAAGCCGAATGACAACAAATAGAGTAGTAAAGACGACAAGAGGAAGACGATTAGTAGGAAGACCACGAAAACGATGAAATGACAACTTACTGGAGGCACATTGAAAAACAGACAGACTCATGTCTATATAAAAAAAGAAGAATATTGCTGATAGTATTGTTAAATAATGAGCTAGTGCTCCTTTTATCGGTCCAGAACCATTCTCGCATTCCAAAACAACCTGGATGTCTACTACGAAAATATTCCAGGTCAATGTCTTTGATCATTGGAAACTTTCAGGGGACAAAGTGCATAGAGTGCAGATTCTGCGAAAATATAGCGGAAATGACTGAACATGGTCTTTGTTTCGGTTAGGCAATTATTTACCAACGTGATAAATACCTGAAAAAGATCTTTTAAAACCTGATGAAGTAAAAAACGTAACTTCGAAACAAATATTTTTTTTAAGTCTAGATCTTTTGGATTAAAACATAGACTTAGACTATACACAAAAGATGTATGAAAAATGATAATGATAAAAGATGATTTTAAGTTGTAGAATGCAAAAATTGTAACTATCACAAATAGTCTGGCTAATGGGCTATGCCAAAGCCATTATACAATAAAAAAAAGTTGTAGTATGAAAAGTTCCATGAGATCAAATGACTCCTTTGAAATCTATGTCTTATCTAAAAGCTAATTTACGAGTAAGACTGACGTAATATGCTTTTTAACTGTTTAATTTTTAGATAAATTTTTAAATTATTTAATATACGTACCTCCTCCTCTTATTTGTATTGATAGTGAACCATCAATATGAGTACACCCTCTAAGTTGGCTCGACGTTGCTATACTATCTACATTCAAACCAGGGCAAGATTTCTTACAACGTCCTGAAGTAAAAATATGTTAATTAGTATCATAATGTTAATGAAAGGTATAACACTAAAATATTATTAATAAATTACCTCCACACGGTACACACGTCCTGTTGTTCTCAGTATGGTCTGGAGGACACTCCAAAATGCAAGATTTTTCATATATTTTATAAGGTTCTGGATAATAATTTGTAGTCTGCAATTCTATGGGTTTATGCATGGTTAGACATTGGTTTTTATCGATGCAACGCCGCTTGAAATACTAAAAAATCAAATGTAACAATTAAAAAAGAGTAGACTGATAAAAATATGGAAAAAGATGTAAGTAACTATTTTATGTTAAAAGTAATTCTAGGTAATCAAATGATCTATCCTCAAATTAAATGCACCTGAAACGTACTTGACTAGAAACTAAACCTATTAGAAAGGAGTTTCAGCGCACTTATAGATCCCATAACAAAAAAAATACAAACTGGACATCATTAACCGAGGAGATTTAAGATTAAACCCAACTACGTAATGTAAATTAATGCCAAATGTTGATAATTTATCATGAAACCATCAAGTTCATCCCTCCCATTAAAGAGATTTATTTTTTGTTTAGTTTTTTTTATGTAACAGTCATTTTAACAGTAAATTTAATTAATAAATGTATGCAATTATGTCACGACTGTTAGAAATTTTAATCTTTCAAAGCGGATAGCAGGGGTTTATCTTTTTTCTTCGAAAAAAAAATGTCTGTCTAAAATTGAAAAATATGACAAGGGGTCTCCGAGAAAAAAGTTTGGGAATCTCTGGCTAGTCCATAAATTCTGGAGTATGACGTTCAGTAAGTTCTAAGAGCAATAGAATAGAAATATGCTTTATTGTCACTGAAAATTATTGAAAAATTTTATGGACAAAGCTAAAAAAAATCAGTCAAATAGTACAAAAAGTATAAAACAAAAACAAATATAATAAAAAACAGAACAATACAATTTTAAATTAGTAAAATTATTGTATAACTTACATAATTTGTACAGACAACAACAAATGAAATAAATTGTAGCCACTGATTGGGACACCCAAATGTAATTATAAACAATACTAATTTTGTTTCTTTGTTATACTAAGAAACTCGTCAACTGAATAATATGGTCTTTCAGACAGATAGATTTTTGTCATCTTACGAAACTTAATGAAGATGTTGTGAATTTAATTTCTCTTGGAAGGTGATTATATAGTTTTTTTTTGCACTATATAGAATAGAATTCTTTACTAGCTGAGTGGACGGGATCGGTAAATAAACGTTACAATCTGAATTTCTAATGGAGTAGCCATGATCAGGTCTATCGGGAAAAATGTTTAGATGCTTGCGAATCAAACAAACCGTTTCCAAAATAAATAAAAAGGGAAGCGTCAAAATTCCGTGATTTTTGAAGTAGGTCTTGAAATGAGTTGTTTGTTTGAGACCAAATAGATAACGAATTGCTCTTTTTTGCAACTTAAAAATAGTATCAAATTGGGCCGCTGTACTAGAACCCCAAAATGGAAGCCCATATCGAAGATGGGACTCGAACAATGAGAAATATGCCATTTTGACAGAAGATAAATTTAGTTCCTTCGAAACAGGTCTTATTGCAAAGCAAGCTGAGGCTAGTTTCTTCCTTAAGGAGTCAGTATGCAAGGACCATTTAAGATCACTGTCGATAAGAATACCTAGAAATTTTACGGAATTAACGATACTGATTTGGCTCTCATTCAAAAGCAAGGGTTGAATGACTCCTTTATAAGATAATGCTACTGTCTTATCCACGTTAAAGCTAATTAAGTTGGAGTCTGACCAAGCCTTGATTATAAGCAAATCAGCGGTTATAATTCAATGAAGCGTTGAAATATTAGAGTTGCTCCAAGTAATACTGGTATCATCAGCAAATAGAAAAATTTTCCTTTTAATTTTCAAGTAAGTTATGTCATTAATGAAAAGTAAAAAAAGAATGGGACCTAATGCTGAACCTTGCGGTACTCCATGAAATAGTCGCAGAAAACGGTGGCGGAGGAGAGGTTACTATTTAGTGATGATATACCTCATGTAACACAGAAAACATGGCATCACTAGTACATTTATTAGACAAAAAGCCGAACCGATTTTACGATAAAATATTATGTTTAAGGAGAAAGGGCATAAGTCGAACTTTTATAACACTTTCAATAATTTTTGATAGTGCTGGTAACAAGGCAATAGGTCTATAGTTGTAGGCATCAGATTTTTCTCCACCTTTATGAAGAGGAATAACGATGGCAGTCTTTAGGCAGTTAGGGAATGTCCCTTTTTCAAGGGAATCATTTACTAGCGAGACCATGACCTCCAAAACATTATGCGGAAGATTTGAGAAAATTTTCATAGATAATCCATCTGTACTACAGGACGATTTGCTTTTTATACTACGAATTGTTCGAATGAGTTCGGCTTATCAACTGGTCTTAAAAAGAAGGTATCAGCAATGTTTTTTGAATTAGGGAGATAGGAAACTGGATCTTGTTGTGGCGAAATAGTTGAGGTTATATTTTTACTCACATTAACGAAGTAATCATTTAGATTTTCGGGGTTAGGAAAAGAAAAGGTTTGATTCGCTGCACTGATTTTATTTCGAAAATCGTTTATTATTGACCAAGTTTCTTTTGAAATATTTTTGAAGCTTGTTAGGCGATTATGAAAGTAGGATTTTTTGGCTACTTTGAGTAGTTTTAGATAGCATTTTCTGTACTTATTGATATAATCAGAGATGGAGATACTGTCATTAAATTGTTTAATATATAGCAGAGAACGCATATTCTTCGCAAATATGCAAATGCCTTTGGTAATCCAAGGTTTGTAATGTTTTGGCCTAATGTTTAATAGACGAAATGCTTTATTAAAAATAGATACAAGTTTATTTAGAAAATCACTAACATTACAGTCAATGTCCCCAGAAGAAAAACTCCAGTCCGAAGTCAAGCATGAATTATAGAATTTACGAAAGTTTTGAGTGGAAAAATCCTACTTAATCGTCGGGCTCAACTTGGTATATACCGCTTCATGATCAAAAAGCCCCCCATTAATAACTGTAGAATGGACGTCAGCGGGTGGAAAATCAGAAACCACATAATCAATTGTCGAGGATGATGTTTTTGAGATCGAAAACACAATGACGAATCGAAAGAGTCCTAAAAAATTAATAAAAACCAGCACTACAATGTTGATGAGATGACTATATGAACACCCTATTAAAAATTTGTCCTTAACTACAGCACTGGAAATCGTCGCAAACTTGAATTATTATTAGACACATATTAGCCTACTTCGCGCTATATATAGAGACAACTAAGACGATCTATTGTTTTGATTGAAGGGAAATAAAAATAACCGTTGTTTAGGTACATCATTAAGTTTGTAGAAAAATTATTCTAAAAATAATTTCGCAACATATTTTCGTCTCGATGTTTTATTTAAAAAAAATTAATTAAGTTTAGAGCGAAATTGTTATTTCAACACAATTGGAAAGTTAATATCGTCGTTGACAGACGACAGCCAATAAATTCAGTAGTGACTGGAATAAAAAGTCATTATGACCTATTCTGCTTCGGTTAATAATTCTAAAAAAGATGAAAATTATTAACATAAAGAAATTAAAACCATTCCTACTTGGGATTTTATTTTAACTCAATAACTACCAGGTATAACTAATAAAACAACCACTTTACTATATAAACTTCAACCTTATTCATCATAATAGTCTCATTCAAGGAAGATACACTAACCCTATTGTTTCTGTACAGTTCGATGCCTGTCCAGTTTTTTTTTATTTTCCGTAGCCACGACATTTGTTTGCGAGCTACTCCTCTCTTGCTTCCAATCTTTCCCTGAATAATTAGTTGAGGGATTGCGTATTTTTTCCTCATCATCATTCCCAAGTATTTTTGCTGTATACTTTTTTAGTTTAATTTTCAATGATATAGCCAGCCAACAGTGAGTGATCGGTGACTTCACTCGGTTTTTCCGTTAGAGTGCTTCGTTGATCTCTTCTTTGGTGACGATTAAATTTTCGATAATTATTTCTGGGAGTTCTAGGTCGGATAGCTGACCTTAACCTGGTACCAGTTATAAACCTTAGAGAACAGTAAAATAACCTGGAGCTCTGTAGGCGAGAAATGACAGCTGTCAGAACTAAACGTAACTGCAATGGGTTCATTATATAGATGATTTTTGCATTGCTATTGATTCTAAAGAACAACTTCACAACGCACAGAACTAATTATTGGAGACAATGTCCACCATAACATTTGGGGTAGAGGAGATGTAAACAACAGAGGTAAGTTATTTTTGATTACCTTTGCACTACTTTGCACTTTGAACTTAATTCGCTGAGCAGGGGTAATAAGCCCACCTTCACACATCAAGATCAGAATTACTGATTGGTCTAAGCGCTATGTTCTATGGGGATTCTTCTTCTTATGGTGCCCTATCCAATTAGTGGATGTTGGCGACAATTCTGGAATACTCCTCTCGATCTTGTGTGGCTCTAAAAAGTGCATGGGCATCGAGATTTGTCCAATCCCATATGTTTTTAAGCCATGAGTGTTTCTTCCGATGCCTCGTTTTCCTTCTATCTTCCCTTCCATAATAAGCTTTAAGAACTGGTACTTGGAATTTCGAAATATATGACCCAGATAAGCAGTTTTTCTTCTTTTTATTATTGGCAGCAATTCTCTTTCTCTGCCCCTTCTATTTAATACTTCGACATTTGTTGTGTGATCTCTCCAGGGAATTTTAAGTAGTCTAGATACCCACATTTCAAAGGCCTCTAATCGGTTCATCACATTGGCCTTTATGGTCCAGGTTTCTACACCATATAGCAGTATGGAGTAAATGTAACATTTTACAAAGCGATATCGAAGCATTAAGTTGAGGCTGCTGTTGCTTAGCAAGGTTCTCATATTAGTAAATGCTGTTCTGGCTTGCTCAATCCTGCTACGTATCTCTATGTCTGGATCTAGATCTTTAGTTATCCAACTACCGAGATATCTGAACTTGGAACCTTTTGGATGTTCTTGTTGTTTACTCTTATATTCAATTGCATATTTCGTGTTCTATTAATCACCATTACCTTCGTCTTGTCTATATTAATCTTCAAGCCCACTCGTTCTCCTTCAGTGTTTATTCTATCTATTAGTCGATTGAGAAATATGATGTAGATTCCAGTCCTACTCTCACAGATGCCACTTGATTCATATAAAGGTTCT